TTTGTTGGCGGGATGTTAAACAATTATTCCTCTCGCCCTCATGGGCTGTGAGTCAATAGCAATTGACCCAGAGACCATGAGGGCGAGAGGAATGATTGTTTAAGTAAAATCCAACTAGTTGGTCAAAAATGTCGAGACAAAACAACTTTAGCTAGCAAAACGCAATTCAGCCGCCATTGTTTTGGTTTTCAAAGCCGGCGCTTTTCGCTACTAGTGGGCTATAACATATAGCCTAGTAGTAGCTCAACCAATCAGAACGCAGCATTGCTAATAGACCACTAGTTGGATTTTACTAATGACTGATATCCAAAGGAAAGGCCAAAATGAAATCTGTTGCGATGCAACAGAATTTAAAAAATCAGCCCGATGTCTGTGTCTGCGCCTAAAAATCTGACTGACAATAGCGTGGATAACGGTCTTTATATATCGCGGTCGCTTACAAGAAGTTTACGAGAGGTTCCAACCGTAAGGCTTTGATTGGGAAAAATTTGGTGTTTTGGATTGGCGGTTGCTTATGGGAGGTGGTCGCTTATGAGAGGAGGTCGCACATGAAGGTTCGACTGTATGATAAAGTACTTTTCCTTTATACAAATACTACACAGGAGAGAAGGATGGTACTAAAATTTCGTTGTAGGAAAAACCTTGGCGGCTTAATGTCGTAGATTTTTTAAGGGTGTGAAACTTCTTGTTGAAACATTGTTGGCACCGAAATATTCAGAAAGAATAGAGTACGTAGTACAGAGCAGAAACCAAAACAACAGGTGTCTACTCAAAGACACTTTTAAAATCACCTTGTTGTAATTATAATATAATTTCTAAACCAAGTAAAAGCTATTTGCTGCAATGAATTCGGTTGAAAACTCAAGAAAATACAACAAAAGCAGTTAAAAACAAGTAATTTGGCTATTTCCTTGAAAATAACGATGGAAGGTTAAGTTTAGGTCAAGATTCAGACTGAGCGGCACAAGCAAGGCTTTGTCAACTTTAGAAAACCTTTATTAAACAGATTTTGTACAAAAAGAAGCGTTACCGCGGAGATGCACCAAAATGGGACATTTGCTTCGAACCGATTCATGTCAGGAGAAAATATATATTGATTATTATTTAAACTTCTAAATTAACACTACGAGAACTGTCAAATAGTAAAATAACTAAAATAATAGGCAAGAAATGCTTATCTGACAATTTTCTAACAAATATGCACCTTAGCAAATGCCACAGGCGGCTAACGGAAGTATTTGAGCGTTATTTACCAGAAAAAGATAACAAACAAGTTAAACTGAATGCAACTACTTTCCTAAGTCAGGAGAGGCTAATTATCAATCAGCACTATTCTTAGAAAACTAAAAACCGCAAAGGAAGCGTCAACTGATTCTCTTTGTCACAATAATTATATACCAATTACACGCGTAGAGCCCTTTTTCAATTTTTATTGTTTTAATGATTTATACTCCTACAAAAGGTCTCCAGAAACAATGAATTTGGAAGAGATTAATTTATAGACCTTCTTTCCAACAGCTGCTGTTTTTGCCGGGGCCACAGGTGCAATCGGACCCAATTCAAGGTCGCTTCTCTAATTTCTGCTAACTGTTCATCATTCATTCTAACGAGATGTATTTTTTCAGTTGTGTAACAGCTGAAATAGAGAGATAAACTAACTTCAAAGCCAGGACTCGAGCCAGGAATCGAGCCAGGACTCGAGCCAGGAATCGAGCCAGGACTCGAGCCAGGACTCGAACTAGGACTCGAACCAGGACTGGAGCCAGGACTCGAACCAAGACTCGAGGCAAGACTCGAACCAGGACTCGAGCCAGGACTCGAACCCAGAGTCGAGCCAAGACTCGAACCAGGACTCCTAACCCTACCTAACCCGAACAGCGAGCTTTCCTTTCATGAAAACCCTCCTCTTAAGAACGAATGTCGCTAAGGATTGAGCAAAATTGGAAATGGTCAAACGAACCTTCCCTCATACTTTGTGTGTAGTTAGTACTTCAGATGAAACTACTTTCTGTGGCATTTGTTTGACTTCTAACAAAAACCTGCACTGGGCATCGGGGTGGCACAGGCATGGTGTGGTTGGAGGTTGATTTATGCAATTTACTACCCGCGACATAACCTGGCAGGAAAATCTAATTCGACGTTTTCCAACAAAATAAATCGTTTCCATGGGATTATTAATAGATAACTGACACACAACATACCATTAACAAAGCAATCAATGCGACAAACATTTCAGAGCCAAGTCAAATCACACACAAGTCACGGTTCGTTCATGTACAGGTAGGAAAAGTCATCTCGCCCGAAGTCATGTCGCTCGAAACCAGACTCATGTCGCCCGAAATTTATAGTCATGTCAGGTTATTCGTTTCGCTATCGTCTCCATGGAGATAGTAAACCTAAAATAAAACAAGAAATTAAAAAAACTAGTAATATCAGTTGCAGTATGGTTCTTACTGTTGTTTTTATATGTTGAAGCATTCTGTTTTGAAAGAAGGTCCACATCACTACTAAATTTCAACTTAAGGTAAGTTCGTGATAAAAAGAAATACTTACTACACGCGGGGACGTGTGGGTCGTCCAACTGAAGCAATATCCCTAGCCGGCGTAAAAATTAGCGAGATCCTATATCTGAATTTTTATTTCGCAATGAAATAAACTATTCCTTTTAAGCTAGAACAATAATGATAATTATCAGTTTCCCAAACACGAGCGAAATGTTATAAAAAATGAGGTAAAGGAAAATAATCGCGATACTTTTTACGCTGGATCCTTTGAAGTTTTCACTGTATGACTGTGAGCCGGTCCCGCAAGGGGAAGCGAGTTTTGCCAAATCCCCGGCACAAGAGATTGCGTCACGTAAACAATTTGCACAAAAAGAGACTGGGTGCTATTATGCTTCGCTTGCAAAGCAGACTGACTTATGACCACTTCACCAAAGTCGTTCCTCTGGTATAAACCTACAAGCTTTATTCATATGTCAATTTAGGGAGCATGATCAAATGGCACTTTCTTTGCAAATCTACATAGGATTGGGTACACTGTTTTTCTGATTTTATGCTTAATAACACTTACACGAGTTCATGAAGATTCTAATATTTATAAAAAGGAAAGAAGCTATAAAATCAGTACAGCGCTTGTGACGTGACACATTGCGTGGCTAAGGTACATTACCTTGAAGACAGTGTGTTCAGGACATGTAAGAGAATCCAACAGAGTACCATGTTCACGCACGGTAAGGAAAAATATGTTTCTGCCCATCATAAGCAGCTGCAGTAATTTGGCACGGTGTCAGTGTGAAAGAAAACTTTGTAGATATGCACTGAAGATGAGGGAAGGGATTTGAATGCGACGACATGCATTACGACATGGTGGATGAGACCTAATCGAACCCCCGGGGGGGTACTCCCATACATTACCTATAGGGGTATGTGCCGCCCAACGGGGTCGTGATTTTGAAGCTCCTGATTTAGAACAGGGTATCCATTTCAGGGCGTTTTCTAGAGCGGGGTATAAAAAATTGTGGATCACGGGTTTCTCTTCTGCTAAAAATTGTTGCTGATTATGAAGAAGCATTTATTTTATGTATAAGTCGAACAAATAAAGAAATATCTTTTTTAAAAAACAGGGCTATTTCAATTTACAAACTTTCTAGAACGGAATATAAAAAATTGGCCCATTTCTTGAACGGGGTATAAAAAATTGGCCCATTTCTAGAACGGGGTATCAATTTTACGGGAATTTTTTTTTAGAACGGTGTGCCAATTTGGAGTCCCGGGCGGCACATACCCACCCAAAAAATACCCAAGTGCCCCCCCGGGAAACGAACCGTGACTTGTGTGTGATTTGACTTGGCTCTGAAATGTTTGTCGCATTGATTGCTTTGTTAATGGTATGTTGTGTGTCAGTTATCTATTAATAATCCCATGGAAACGATTTATTTTGTTGGAAAACGTCGAATTAGATTTTCCTGCCAGGTTATATCGCGGGTAGTAATTTGCATAAATCAACCGCCAACCACACGATGCCTGTTTGTAAACCAAAAATCGTTAATCCGCTCGATAACTGACTGTAAAACGTAAAGGAATGCAATCTATGGAAACGTTCTTGCTTAACATCGCCCCAATGACATTATGTAAGAGAAAAAAGTTGCGAAAATTTACTGTTTTGTCTCAGGTATACAATTTCATTTGATTTGCATGCAAAAATGTATCGAGTATGAAATATCGATTGCCCGCGGATTTTTAAGCATGAAATGGTGCACAAGAAAGGGCGAAATATTTACATCCTGTTCAATTTTGATCTAAATCGGAGTCACGGCTAGTAAGAAAAAAATGTGTTCAAAAATGTCTATTTTTTGGCCTTGTCAAAAAACGTTTCCCACCTTGTAAGTGACAATGAACAGGGGCCGTTCTAAGAAAAAGTGATAACATTTTTATTGAGAGGGAGGATGATATTTTGCTATCATGTAAACAGATTTTTAACTGTTAGTCTGCTTTCTGAAATATTTACCTGACAAAACTCCAATTTTCAAGGAGAAAATTGTCTCAAAAAATGCAGTTTTTGGCCCAAACTCCCCCCCTTATGCCGAGTGCTGGTTTTTGTTAGAAGTCAAACAAATGCCACAGTGAGTAGTTTCATCTGAAGTACTAACTACACACAAAGTATGAAGGAAGGTTTTGTTTGACCATTTCCAGTTTTGCTCAATCCTTAGTGACATTCGTTCTTAATGGTCATGTGACTTGCTGGAGGTCAAAATGGCGGGAAAGCGAAAAATTGTTCAGTCCTGGCTCGAGTCCTGGTTAAAGTCCTGGCTCGGTAATAGCTTATGTTGTCAAGAGAACGATCGAGTAGCCCTATACAACTACTAAATCTTGTCAAGAGCCATTGGTCCCATTATGGCGCTTGGCAGTTCTTGTGGTTTTGTTTGATTTTCCTAATGATTTCTCTGAATACTCACGGCTCCTTTTTGCAGATAACCGGGACACGACAGAGAAAAAAAAATGAACTGCAATGGGAATTCTGTTGAATCAACCAAGCGCGTGTTGGTTACAGGCGGTGCAGGTTACCTTGGGTCAACACTGGTACCAATATTGCTCCAACGTGGTTACCAAGTAGTAGTCTACGATAAATTTATGTGGGGGGCGGGATCACTCTTGGCCCATGTAGGTAATCCTCATCTTGAGATCGTCCCGGGAGATATTTTGGACAAAGGGCTTTTGGCTGAGCACATGTCCACATGTGACGCTGTTATTCATCTCGCTGCCATTGTGGGTTATCCTGCCTGTGAGAAAAATAAGGCTGAAGCTGTTCAGGTTTGTATTGCGGGCTATTTGAGGTTGTGTGTGGGGCTGTGTCAGTACAAGAACCCATAAACTGGAGCGAGCAACTTCCATGTACTCATGACACGGCGTTTTCACGGACCAGTTTACTTTTAGAACGGTTTTGGCGCGAATTGAGAATATCTTTTAAGTCCCACAAAGCAGTCAGCAAAACCTACAGACCTAGAAATGATATTTTTTCGTTTTAATGACGTTATGTTTTCCTTTTTGATATCTTATATTTCGAATGCGCTCATAGACGTGGCGGAGATTCCATTTTCGCGGGAAAAAGTGCCCTAAAATGTCTCTAAAAATAAACTTGTCCGTAAAAACGCCGTGACATAGGCCAAGTATGGGAGTTGCTCGCTCCCGGTTATGGGCTCCTGGTCAGTGTTAGTCTGCTCCACAGCCGTTCTTTGTGTCGTCACGCAATGCTCCTTCACAAAGAACGGCTTTGAAGAAGAATNAACTGCAATGGGAATTCTGTTGAATCAACCAAGCGCGTGTTGGTTACAGGCGGTGCAGGTTACCTTGGGTCAACACTGGTACCAATATTGCTCCAACGTGGTTACCAAGTAGTAGTCTACGATAAATTTATGTGGGGGGCGGGATCACTCTTGGCCCATGTAGGTAATCCTCATCTTGAGATCGTCCCGGGAGATATTTTGGACAAAGGGCTTTTGGCTGAGCACATGTCCACATGTGACGCTGTTATTCATCTCGCTGCCATTGTGGGTTATCCTGCCTGTGAGAAAAATAAGGCTGAAGCTGTTCAGGTTTGTATTGCGGGCTATTTGAGGTTGTGTGTAGGGCTGTGTCAGTACAAGAACCCATAAACTGGAGCGAGCAACTTCCATGTACTCATGACACGGCGTTTTCACGGACCAGTTTACTTTTAGAACGGTTTTGGCGCGAATTGAGAATATCTTTTAAGTCCCACAAAGCAGTCAGCAAAACCTACAGACCTAGAAATGATATTTTTTCGTTTTAATGACGTTATGTTTTCCTTTTTGATATCTTATATTTCGAATGCGCTCATAGACGTGGCGGAGATTCCATTTTCGCGGGAAAAAGTGCCCTAAAATGTCTCTAAAAATAAACTGGTCCGTAAAAACGCCGTGACATAGGCCAAGTATGGGAGTTGCTCACTCCCAGTTATGGGCTCCTGGTCAGTGTTAGTCTGCTCCACAGCCGTTCTTTGTGTCGTCACGCAATGCTCCTTCACAAAGAACGGCTTTGAAGAAGAATAGGTCACTGCTGAATTGGATTGCATTAAAGACCTCTAATAGTAGCTTGCGCCTCAGACGAATAAAACCCTGGTTAAGCGCGTCTGCGAAACAGCCCCGAATTTCGTGTTCTGGGCCCCCAGCTGTGTACCAGGATTTGAGTGCGCGCAAAGACTCCTGTAGTACACGTCATGATCGGTCTGTTAAAAAAGCCATTATCGATGAGCCAATCAGGATGAAAGGAAATTCGAAACTCTGGATTCCAGGTCGGTTAGGCCTGTCGATTGACTCATTTTTAGGCAGATAACTTAAAACTTAACTTGCACGTTCTAAGTGTTTTAAAATTGAAATATATTTTCTGCTATTATCTTGTGCAAAAGCAATTTGTTTGGACCGCAGAGCTTTTATACGTAAAGAAACTTCAGTTTCATCGTGTTTTCTCTTCCTTCTGTTTTCAGTTGTTTACTTTCTCATTTTGTTATTTCTGTAGACAAACCAGCAAGGCACCAAGAACGTTGTAGACAGCTTAGCACCAAATCAGCAGCTAGTTTACGCATCCACCGGCTCATGTTACGGAGCTGTGCTCAATGGTCTGTGCGCGGAAGACACACCCATCTCACCTTTGACGCTCTATGGAAGTACAAAAGCCGCCGGAGAAAGGATGGTCATACAGGCTGGTGGAGTGGCACTTCGTTTGGCAACAGTGTTTGGGGTGTCCCCCCGGCTTAGGCTTGATTTATTGGTGAATGATCTCACTGAAAAGGCTGTGAGGCTGAGACATTTTGGTCTTTATCAGGGGGAGTTCCGACGTACTTTTCTCCACGTCAAAGACGCTGCCAAGGCGTTCGTGTTTGCAATGGAAAATTACAAGCGAATGGCAGGACAGGCATTTAACGTTGGGGACGAAAACATGAATTTATCCAAGTCTGATGTGGCTCGTATCATCCAACAGTGCGTGCCGGGTTGTGTTATCACAGAAAACACCACGGGGGAGGATAAAGACAAGAGAGATTATGAAGTATCATACAAGAAGATCCAAGCTCTGGGCTTCCATGCTACCATCTCAGTAGAGGAAGGGGTACAGGAGCTTTTGAAACTTCTACCATGCCTAAGCAATGACGAGATAGAAAAAGCTAGAAATGTATAACAGTAGTACAAATTTCACTGGAGGAAATAGAGGGGGCGTTTACAAAACATCTAAATGATTGTCAAAAAAAAAAAGCATCTCCTGTGGGGGTGGGTAGAATAATATAAAGCATTGCTCGCCTTTCGATTGCTCGTATGCAGTGATTCACTGTTGTAAATTATATTTTTAAAGAAATGATTTACAAATTAGTCAGTTTTTAAGCGAAATACTCTAAGGCAAACTGTTGGCACAAACAAACTCGTTGTTGATAAACCGATTCCCCTTGTATGACGTTGTGGTGTTTGAAATGAAATATTGCTAAGTAAAATTGAGCAAGCAATAAGCAAGCAAGCAAAATTGAGCAGTTGTGTTGTTGTTGTGTATGTCTATTCTGCCCTCCATTTTCCTCGCTTTGCGCAATGAAGCTTGAACCGAGGCTCTTGTTAGTTACTACAAAACACAACAGGAAAGGAAGGGTCGTGAAACGTGGAGAAATACTGACAAAATATACTTCAGGCTTTACATGATAGTTGATGCGGCTCGAGCTGTTTCGTAATTTTTGGCCGGAAGGCCCCTATTTTTTTTAGCCTGCGAAAACATCCGTTTCTCCACGCTCTTCGCCGCTGGGTACGTTTCGCGCAAAACGTCCCAGCGTTGAAGAGCGCGGAGAAACGGATGTTTTTCGCAGGCTACTATTTTTTGTGAAAATAAATGACTTTATGCAACATGTTCACCACAGATCAGTTTAAACGGTCGCCGGAGACTGATTTACTGTTGAACTTTTCAAATATTTCAGCCATTTCTTGTCTGTATTACAAATGAACTGAGCGACAAAAGTAAACTCTTGACCATTTCTACCTGCAAAAGTGCGAACAGTCAAGGTGATCTGGGGATGACGTTTCGTTCGAGGCCCGGCTAAAGATGTAACCCTTCAAGGGAATTTTTTTCACAGTAATCTAAGAATTATTTAGACCAAGTACTGCGCTGTTAAACGTAGTTTGTATAGCATATTTGTTTTCTAAGACTGTTTTTGGAGCCACACAGATTGTCATTTTGGACGCTGAGAGTCGACTGTGAGTTCGCTAGTCGCGATTTTTTTTGTCTCGTGTCCGTTAGCCATTTTCTGAAGACCATGAAGAATTATTTTGTCATTCCAGATTTTCCTGTTATCGTTATATTTTATCGGACTTTCTAATATACACTCTTTTTTTTATAAGAATATTGTTTTTCCGGGCCAGGCTGAATATTCTTATTTTTCCGCCGATTTTAGGCTGTAAATATTCTTGTATTATTCTTAATAATAGCTTATGACATTTCCGTTTTAGAATATATTAAGGTATCAATTATAGTTTTTTAAATATAGTTAGCTAGTTTTGCCGTTTAAAGAAAGGAATAAATTGAAAACGTATATTTGTATTGTATTTACAGATTTTCACCACACGAAATTATCCCTTTCAAAATCTCAGCCTGGAGTTTATTCTTAAAGTATTCTTAAGATTTCGCAAATTTCAGCCTCGATATTCTTATAAAATATATTCTTATAGAAAAAAAAAGAGTGTATCCAAGTTTAATTATTATTCATCGTGTTTCACTTGTCTTGTGATGCGAGCTCTTGCCAAAAGGATGGCGTTAGGTGCTAAAAAAAGCCTTTAAATATTTTATTTTGTTGTCGTTTATTGATATTAGTTTGGTAAGCCGTCAATTACCTCGGTGTTATAGAGTACAGGTAACTCCTAATTTTTGAAAAAAAAAGAAAATCATGATAAAGTAGATTATCTTTTTGTGAGCAGATGGAAGGCACATCACGTTATCTTGTCAGAGGAGCCCATGCAGTGGCCCGGCAGCCTTGTAATTGTCGGACTGGCCCAATTTTCATCGGAACAACGTTTCATACACTCAAAAGCCAAATTTGACATCGTCTTTGTGAGACATGTCAATATTGATACACATCTAAACAAAGTTAATTGCCTTTATAAATAAATTTCAGCACCTCATTCAGTGCTATATATATATATATATATATGGTTTGTTAGCGAGGTACAAGCTCCCCATGCTGTGCTTGCTCACGTGAACGTTAAATAAAATATAACCTTCACAGCTGAACCTAGCCTACGCGCAGACGAAATTAAAGCGCCAGCTTGTGTTTCGGGATATTAACAGCTAAACGCTAATCAGAGTTTAGTTATCGTCTGCACGCAGGCTAAGCTGAACCCCACGGAAAAAAAAGACCAAAAACTTGAAATGACAATTATCATTTGATGAAAACTTTTGTAAATGATGAGGTGGAATTGTGAGAGTTTAACCAAGAGCCATAATGGCTCTTGGTTTAACCTAAGTGAACAGGAATATGCAGTTTTCTTATGGGATCGGGCAAAATCATAGACAAGCATAGGAACCCATATTCCTGACAAGCAAGCAAAAGGCACAATTAATGTTAACCCCTTGACGACCGTTTGAAGGTTTTCGTTTCATATCATAAGGCCAGACGCGTATTTTTCTTTTTGGACCCTCTTCCTTTTAGTTAAAGCTATCCACTTACTACAGGATTCACACCTTTCATCCTGACAGAGTCACACTCAAACTGAACCTAGTAGCTATTTGGAGAAGGGTGATCCACCGCCAATTTTGGTATTAATTCACTGCTCTTTGGAAATTAAATTTTCCCTTTCCTGGAAAGTTAGCCAGCCAAAATTCTATGCGAAAGAAAGATGATAAAGTGGGTAACAAAACTCATGGCTACACTAAAAAAGAAGGCCGGCAAAAGGAAAAAAAAGAGAGAGAGAAAGCGTTGAAAGAAAAAGAAAAAAAAAAAAGAAGTTGTTTCATTACATCCAATAAGTAGGGAAAAACATGCCCTTATTATTGCAAATGAGGGCGTTTGTTTGAGCTATATTAATTCAAATTATTTTTGGACCATAGTTAGTGGGGAGAAAAATACGGTGGAAATTTGAACCAGTCGGACTAAGTCTGAGTGAGTAAGTGCTTTCGGACGTGCGGTGTTTCACATTCATTAGTAATACAGTGCTATGGCTATTTTGCGCCTTCAAAAATATAGTGTATGGGTGAATCTTTATTTCTTGCTTCCTTCGGGTATATGTTGCGGTTAGCAGTTGTTTTTTGATGGAATGAAAAAAAATATAGGGACACTCACGCGCAACTGGGGAGTATTGCCGCGCGAGGAAGAGCTAAAGCATGGCGCCCATTTTCACGCGTGTGGAACTTCTCGTTTTCGCTCTCGTTTGACTTACACGTCTGTACTGTGGAGGTGCTTGCAGTTCTGCACAGTATGAAGAATCCCAGAAGAAGCACAAGAATAATGACTTAGCTGTCATCACAAAAGACAGAAAAGAGTATGATTACGTTTTCTGACTTTGCTTTGCGAAAACTGATCAAGCTCTCTTTCCTCGCGCGTGGTATCCCGTTTCGCGCGGAAAAAACCGGATTTTTCGTTCACGTGATTGGTCCAATCCTCAACGTGATAAGGTCGTGTCGTGTTGTAGATTGTGGATAAAAATCATTTGCATCGTCGTGGGCAAACACTGAGGTTACTGGTGGCCGAACGTTGAGTTTTACACTGAAGAAAGCTGTGTATGTTAGCAACGAAATGCTGTCAGGAATACGTCGCCTGAGGTTTGTACCTCAAATGTTGTTATTTTTACAAGTTTAGTTTTCGCGCTTTGGACGCTTTTCGATCCGTCCGCGGTGCTTTGACGCTGAACTATTAAACTCGGCGCGTTTAGTGTTCCGGTGATTCCACTCTTCCGGTGAAAAAAGAACTTTCAACCACAACAAAGTTTTGCTTACTGCCATTTTAGACGATAAAATTTCTTAAAGGAAGGTATTCGTACCCCTAACAGATTAGAAACGTGAAACGATCTTGAAACAGGTGATGATTGACATTACCCTGCTTGTAAGCTACATATTTGATTTTTTCTCCTTTTTCTTATTCCACTGCTAATGTTAAAAGGTCGTTAGACGCTATTTGGCGACCTTGCTTTCTTGTTTTTAGAAAAGTGAAAGAGTTCCGTGTTTGGTGAGGATCGATTGTATCCTGCTAAAAATAGTTTGTCGTTGTTTCATGACTTTAGTCACGGTCGTAAAAAGTACTTGAATGAAGGACAAACGTACTCAATAATTTTTGCTGTTTTGTTTTGATGGAGTTTTGAGTGGGGAAATCCTCTTGAAGTTTTAATGTTAAATGATTCTGGAAAATCGAATGCGACAACAAGTCATTCAGTGGAGTAAAGGGAAAATGGTATTTTCTTTCCAATTTGGATCATACAGAGTAAACATTAGTGAAAAATTTATAGAAGTTACCAAAATAAAATTGTTTAAGTACAGATCTAAAAATAATTTTGTGGAGAGTTTTTTTTGGTTGTATGCAACGGAAATCTCTAGGTGCCTCTTTGTTGATACATTTGTTTGCAGTGTTTTGGGGGGAAAATAAGTGTTGCAGTTAATTTTGTCTTCCGTTTGTAGTATGGCCACCCAATCAGATAGTTGCATTAACTGGGAGACCATATTTCCTTGAATAGGCATCCAGTGTTGATTAACTATAAGGTGAAGCAGCTGGTCGCACATGTTTTCATAAAATCAAGATTACTGTTGATCACAAAATTAATGGTTTATTATGAAAACTTTACGAGGCTGGGTGAACTGAAAAATTTGTTTGTGAGATGAGGATGGAAACTCTAGGGGTCCTGAATGAAACTCCTTTGGAAAAGTTTAGACTCTGAAATGAAGAGGAAACCTTTGAAACAACATTTCAAATCCCACTGAAAATTGATTATTAAAAATTTCCAAGTCCCTGTACAGAAAGTTACCATCAGTAATATTTACAGGTTCAGTAACCTGCTATTTTCCAAAGCTGAAAAACGTATGCACTATAATGTTGTCTTGCATCCAGTTTAGTTTTAATATGCTCCAGGCTGATTTTTAGTTGTTCTTTGTAAACAAATAACAAATTAGTGAGTTGCTTTGATGAGCAGATGTTAGATGGAATGCCCTAACAATGAAAAGTT